TGAGTGAGTGAGTGAGTGGATGGAGTGAGTGAGATACGATCTCTGTCTTTTTTCAATTGCTTACATCCGTCAAAGAGTGTGAGGGCCTTCCATCCAATCAGCCAATCGGTAGCCTATCGCGTAGTAGCTTACTGGATCGCTTAGTTTTTCTTCAGCCTGCCTCGTTTTTCCAGAAAAACAAGGATGACATTGAATAAACGAACAAACAGCTTGTTTAACGAAACTATCTTGGTCTTGGTATCTGTGTCTGTCTGTTTCGTTTGCTTAAGTCCTTCAGTACACGGCAGGTGAAGGGCAATGGCACCAAGAGGGGGCCGAAATTGTAGTGAAGCGCCACGTTCCTAGCCGAAAGGCGGAAGAGCCGGAAAGCCGGTCTTAGCGGTCGGTCTCCCTCTGGCACCCCCACCGAAAGCTCAGGGCAGGATACAAGGCCTGACGACAAAAGTCCGTTTCAAAAAGAACGAAGTTCGAACAATTGAAACGACTCCAGAATCGTCCGTGTACCTGCCTTGCCCCTGAAACAATCCGGCAGCGGTTGAGGTGGGGTTGCTCGTTGTCCATCTTTAAACAGCGATACCGTGAAGGCATTTGGGCCTCGGACTCAGGAATGTACGGAAGCAAAAATGCCTGTCCAAGTTGCGTCTCCAAAGACTTAAACACTCCTCGATGTCTTTGTTGGATGACTCTTACTTATGAAAAAACAAGATGGCACCCACGAATCCGAATGCAAACACATTCGAAAAACTACATATGTCCAAATGACACTCTTGTGGGACACTCTTGTGGGACACTCTTCTGGGACACTCTTGTAGGACACTCTTGTAGGACACTCTTGTGGGTCACTCTTGTAGGAAACTCTTGTGGGATACTGTTGTCGGACACTCTTAAGGGACACTCTTGTGGGACACTCTTATAGGACACTCTTGTGGGACACTCTTGTGGGACACTCTTGCAGGACACTCTTGTAGGACACTCTTGTGGGACGCTCTTGCCTGACACTCTTGTGTGACACTCTTGTCAGAAACTCTTGTGGGACACTCTTGTAGGACACTCTTGTGGGTCACTCTTGTAGGAAACTCTTGTGGGACACTCTTGTAGGACACTCTTGTGGGACACTCTTGTAGGACACTCTTGTGGGACACTCTTCTGGGACACTCTTGTGGGACACTTTGTGGGACACTCTTGTGGGACACTCTTGTAGGACACTCTTGTCGGACACTCTTCTGGGACACTCTTGTGGAACACTCTTGTGGGACACTCTTGTAGGACACTCTTGTGGGACACTCTTGTAGGACACTCTTGTGGGACACTCTTCTGGGACACTCTTCTGGGACACTCTTGTAGGACACTCTTGTGGGTCACTCTTGTAGGAAACTCCTGTGGGGCACTGTTGTAGGACACTCTTGTGGGACACTCTTAAGGGACACTCTTGTGGGACACTCTTGGGGGACACTCTTGTAGGACACTCTTTTGGGACACTCTTGTAGGACACTCTTGTGGGACACTCTTGTGAGACACTCTTGTGGGACACTCTTGTGGGTCACTTGCAGGACACTCTTGTGGGACACTCTTGTAGGAAACTCGTGTGGGACACTCTTGTAGGACACTCTCGTGGGACACTCTTGTGGGACACTCTTGTGGGACACTCTTGTGGGATACTCTTGTAGGACACTCTTAAGGGACACTCTTGTGAGACACTCTTGTGGGACACTCTTGTGGGACACTCTTGTGGGACACTCTTGTAGGACACTCTTGTGGGACAGTCTTGTAGGACACTCTTGTGGGACACTCTTGTGGGACACTCTTGTGGGACACTCTTGTGTGACACTCTTGTGGACACTCTTGTGGGACACTATTGTAAGACACTCTTGTAGGAATCTCGTGTGGGACACTCTTGTAGGACACTCTTGTGGGACACTCTTGTGGGACACTCTTGTGGGACACTCTTGTGGGATTGTGGGACACTCTCGGGGGACACTCTTACAGGACACTCTTGTGGGACACTCTTGTAGGACACGGACACTCTTGTGGGTCACTCTTGTAGGAAGCTCTTGTGGGACACTCTTGTAGGACACTCTTGCGGGACACTGTCTTTCCCACAAGAGGGACACTCTTGTGGGACACTCTTGTGGGACAGTCTTGTAGGACACTCTTAAGGGACACTCTTGTGGGACACTGTTGCGGGACAATTTTGTGGGGCACTCTTGTGGGACACTCTTGTGGGACACTCTTGTAGGACACTCTTGTGGGATACTCCTGTAGGACACTCTTAAGGGACACTCTTGTGGGACACTGTTGCGGGACAATTTTGTGGGACACTCTTCCAGCTCGGCAGATACTCCGCATACTAAAGTTGTACTACCAAGTCTCCAGATCTCATCGTCCAGCTCCCCAGATACTCCGCGTACTAAAGTTGTACTACAAAGTCGCCAGCGCTCGCCTGCATTTCGCGCACTCGACACGCGCGATCTCCGCAGAGGGTTGTGCGGGCACCGGACAAATCGCACTCTCGCCTGCATTTCGCGCGCTCGACACGCACGATCTCCGCAGAGGGTTGCGCGGGCACCGGACAAATTGCACTCTCGCCTGCATTTCGCGCACTCGACACGCACGATCTCCGCAGAGGGTGGTGAGGGCACCGGACAAATCGCACTCTCGCCTGCATTTCGCGCACTCGGCACGCACGATCTTCGCAGACGGTTGCGCGCGCATGGGACAAATCGCACTCTCGCTTGCATTTCGCGCACTCGACACGCGCGATCTCCGCAGAGGGTTGCGCGCGCATGGGACAAATCGCACTCTCGCCTGCATTTCGCACGCTCGACACGCACGATCTCCGCAGAGGGTTGCGCGTCAAGTCTCCAAAACGAGCGTTTCGTACGAGACTTCCTCCAAAAGTCAAGAGGAAACACCCATCGGAGCACACACATCACGCAGCCCTGCCAAGCAGTTTTGCGATTCCAGCCCCTCCGAACAACATCCGCTCACACGCCAATCCCGATGTGACAGCGACATTCACCTCTACCACAACTCACAACCTCACGATTCCCTGCGCCTGCCACGAATCTTTCCGCGTCCACACGTCTAACGCGCACAAAGTACTGCGCCTGCCACGAAATGTCACCTCCGTTCACACCTCGCAACCTCACGATTCCCTGCGCCTGCCACGAGAATCGCACTTCCACGCCTCAAAACCTGCACAAAGTCCTGCGCCTGCCACGAAAAGTGACAATATCATTTCATGTGAGCTCCAACAAAACTTGCGCCACACCACACGTTTGGAATGATTTCGACCCGTTCTGAGCACACTCCCATCAACCAAAATCGCCACTTCAGCTGAGACTTGTCACGAAAACCGATGCCACACCCTGAGACGCAAATCCCAATGGCACGGCCACATCCAACACCCCAAAAACACGACTCTCCAAACCCTAATCCCAATGGAACTGTGCAGCAATCTGCGGATCTCACAAAACGCTGTGCCTGCGCAGCGAAATGCACCACGTTTCTAGCGCGACATGTCATTGTCACGCAAATCACAATGGAATAGTGGCGCAAACTGACACGTGACACATCCATGAAAAGTCCCTTGCAAAAGCTTCCCCCAATGGCAGCAAATTTGAGACGCGACGACGACGACAAACGACGACAGACGACGACAGACGACGACACAGCTCCAACCCCCAGACCCCCAACTATAAACGGGAACCCTTCGCTACGCATTCGGGAAAAACATGTCGAAAAGTTACGCTTTTCTGTCGACGTAATTCGAAGAAGTCAACCAGGAACACTCACAGTGGCACCTTGAGGTCATGAACTGAGTGTCGTTCGGAATGAACGCGTTTTCTTTTTTCATAAACAGAAAGTCGCACCTTTTCTTGGGCTCATATTGACGCGCGCTTGGCTAAGCTGAATTGTTTTGGCCATTTTTGCAGCATGTGTTGAGTCTGCAAAAACATTGGAAGCTGCCCGCAAGAGAATAGGGCAACACTGATTCTTCTAGAAATGAAACTATTGTATTAAATATGAAAGGCGCGCGCGCACTGGGATCTTTTCCTCAAACACGGGGTCTTGTAGCCGAAAGGGTGTGCGTGATCGACAGACATGTCAACCTGAACTTGACTGCGCATGAAGTTCTGACACGCCCCCATCGATCATGCGCTTTCTGCACAACTCCATCTCAGCCGCCTTCGCGTAATGCGGGCAGCTAGGAGAAAAATGCAGCGCTTTGCCCGATGGCGTCTTCTTCCAGCACTTTGCCCGATGGCGTCTTCTTCAAATTTGCCATCTGTCGCATCAACTTCTGGGCGTGCTTTGTTTCCAATTGAAACATTTGGAAGTGTTTTCTGCCTGCTCTTTCAGCACGTTGATCCGTTCTTCAAGCTCTTCTATGTACATGTCCTGCTTCACATGTTCTGCCTGCATCTCCACCAGCTCACGGTCGTAAGCTGTCCTCAGCTCAGCCTCCACATGGCATGTTGCCTGAGTCTCCTGGTCCCGTTTCTCTAGGACCACTCGCACCGTGCTCTCATCGTTCTGAATCGTGACCTTCTTGAAGTCCAACAGGTGAGAAATGCCACCCTTCACAAACACAAGAATGAAGTCCCGAAGCCAAGCAAAAATGCTCAAGACCCCAAAGAGTGCACATACACAAAAGATCGTCCATGACCAGCCAAAATGGCTATCCTCCGTGTAGGACTCCATGGTCGCTCCTGAGGCCTTCTCCAAGTTCGCCAAGCAAGCAGACACGAAGAGCTTTCTTGTTCCCAATCTGCCTCTCACTCTTCTTGGCCTGGTAGTTGCGTTCCAGGTCTTCGAACTCTTCTTCACCCACACGGTCATTGACCACATTCACCATCTTCAGCATGAAGAGCAACCCCAACAACCTTTTCTTCGCCAGGTTCTTGGCCCCACTGTCAGCGCAGTTCAAGTCTGTTGGGATAGGAGCCACTGTCAGCACTTTCTCCTTCTCCTTCTGTTGGATCCATAGCAGGGATGCGTCCAAATGTCGGACACGGCCGATCCCCTGCCTCTGCACCATTGATCGCGCCGCAGAGCTGTCTGGGCGCACCTTCATCGTCCACTGCATGCCTGTCATCTTATTCCAAAGGCGACGTACAAGTAGTCCCTCAGAGCTTCCAGCCACCATAGCCACAAATCGACCAAGTTGCCATCCATGAAGATCTGAAATGAACTTGTCGACTTTCGATCGTTCTTGTTGCCTGCATAGTCGGCGTCCGTGATCACCTCAAGCAAGCGCTGTGGCTGCTCAATGGCCTCTTCCTCTTCTCTCACATCCATCACTGACTGGCCTCTCTTTCTTGAGTCCATCATCACTCCATAGCCAGCTGTGCCAAACAAGTAGGACACTACATGCTCTGCATTCTTCATGGCCATCTGAGTTGGTTTAGCCATTTGTCTGGCAAGACACTGAATTGCATGTTGCGCACCTGAGATGTACATCAACTTCCCCACGATGCTTCTGAACTTCGTGATGTCACTGCCATCCAACTCCGGAGACTCATCTTTCTTGCCGAAGTCGTTGCTCATGGGAGTCTTCCTGTAGAAGCGTGCATGCAGGTTGGTCACATCCT